ATCAAAATGAAAAAAAAATCCAAAGATAGAGACAGAATATTGAAAGCAGCAAGATTAGGAGTCAGAGTGATAGTATAACTGGTAGGGCGTTTGCCTTGCACCTAGCAGACCTGGGCTCAATCCTTGGAATTCCATATGGTTCCCTGAGCAGCACCAGGAGTAATTCCTTAGTCCAGAGCCAAGAGTAACCCCTGAACAGTGCCGGTTGTGCTCCCCAAACAAACAAACAAAAAGTGAAAACTTCGACATTTAAAAAGGAATTTACATACAAAGGAAAGTCCATAAAATATACAGCAAACCTATCAAATGAGACTGTATGCATCAGAAGAATACGGAAGGATATAGAACAAAAACACCACAAAATGAACACCTCATTGAGAATACTCCATCAAGCTAGATTATCACTCAGCTTTGAAGGAACTATACAGAACTTCACAGACAGGCAATAGCTTACAGGATTCACAGTGTTGAAACCAGTTTTGCTAGAAGCATTGAAAGAGCTCCTTTAAAGGATTGGAGAAACTTCCTAACATGGGTCACTGAGTATGGCACTCACTAATGATGTATATGGTTATCCTCTACTAGATTAAGAAAGATTAAAAACATCTAGCAGTCTCATCACAAATTGACTTTTATTGATTTTTTTTCATGATAACTCTATTTGTCATTCCTTTAAGTTTTATTGGAGTAATATGAAATGAATTTGTTACATGCCTGCCAAGGCAGCAGGTTGGGTTTGCCGAGTAACAGTGGTGGAGGGAGGGGCCACTGGTGGTGGGACTGTATGCCTGAAATAACTCTATTTTGAACAATTTTATAAGTCAGTGTCTTAATATTTTTTTTTTGCTTTTTGGGTCACACCCAGTGATGCTCAAGGGTTACTCCTGGCTTTGCACACAGTAATTACTACTGGCAGTGCTCAGGGGACCATATAGGATGCTGGAAATGGAACCCGGGTCAGCCTCATGCAAGGCAAACACCCTACCAGCTGTGCTATCGCTCCAGCACCAAAATATTTTGAAAAAACATTAGAAGTCATATTGGGAGAACTGGAGAGCTAGCATGGTGGGTAAAGCCTTATATGTGGCTGATCCAGGGGTTCAATTCCTGGTACCTCAAAAGGTTCTCTGAGAGCCAGGAGTGATCCCTGAGCAGAGCCAGGAGTAGGCCCTGAGCACAGCCAGGTTTGGCAAAAAAAAAAAACCCCTAAGTAAATAAATGAAGGTTGTTTTGTGGGGCTGGAGAGCTCAAAGCTATGCATGCTGGAAGCCCTGTTGGCAACACTGGAGTGGCAAGAAAAGAAAGTCTTTATATGGTAATCCCCTCCAATCTGCTGTGGATGAAGCCTTCAAGACATCATCAGTCAGTTCATTCCTGGCTGTGCTCTTATAACTCCCGGCTCCTCCTTTACCTCACTGCAGTGTGTCTCAAAGTTCCAAGCAAGGAGATAGTGTAGCTTCTATCTCTTCCTGAAGTCTGTCTCTAAAATATGCCAGGTTTGTGTATAAACCTGGCTCTGCACTCTCTCTCTCTCTCTCTCTCTCTCTCTCTCTCCCTTTCTTTCTTTTCATTCATTCTGTAGTCTTGTATTAGGTACTTATCATGTATATGGCAACCTACCATGGTTACATACAATAGCTGAAACTGGGCAGCCCAGAGACAAATCCTCACATTCCTAAGATCATTCTCCCTGGGAGACATCTCCAACATAGCCTGAACCCCAGGCCAGAGGGCAGCCAACACTGCACCAACTCACTATGACATTCTGACTTCCTCCAGGCTGTTCTTTTCATTTCATTTAAATTTAATTTGTTTAAAGTTCAAAGGAATCCACAATTTGACTTTTTAGTTTAAGAACTTCTATTTCTAAATTAGATTCCTTATTTGAAAGCTGACCATATTAAATAACAGCAATACTTTGGGTTTCTTTTTTTTTCTTTTGTGGGTCACACCCGGCAATGTTCAGGGGTTACTCCTTGCTCTGCACTCAGGAATTACTCCTGGCAGTGCTTTGGGAAACATATGGGATGCCTGGAAGCAAACCCAGGTTGGCCACATGCAAGGCAAATGCCCTACCTGCTGTACTATAGCTCTGGCCTCAGTTTGGGTTTCTTTTTGTCTGTAGAGTTGGTGTTTGGGCCACATTGGCAATGCTCATGGATTGCTCCTTTTCTCTTCTATTGTTTACCAAATTTTATCAATACTCTAGCTTTCTGGAATGGCAGTGAGTTAAAACATTTTAAGCCTATTTTTCACTCCTCTACCTTAGGGTAGGCACAATAGAGGCTTTTAAAGACTTTAGGGGGTGGGGAAATTTGTTCTTTTCTTTTCTTTTTCTTTTTTTTTTTTTTTTTTTGCTTTTTGGGTCACACCCGGCAATGCACAGGGGCTACTCCTGGCTCATGCGCTCAGGAATTACTTCTGGTGGTGCTCCGGGAACCATATCGGATGCTGGGAATCGAACCTCGGTCAAATGCAAGGCAAATGCCCCGCCTGCTGGGCTATCACTCAAGCCCCATATTTCTTCTCTTAAAGTATGGTCCAACTCTGAGCTATCCTAGGGATGCTCCAGTCCAATAATGATATTTGCCTCTCATGGTCTCTCTTCTTGGAGAAGGCAGAGAATCAGATAGATACCTCTGTTTTTTGCTTTTTTTTGGTCTCTGGCACAGGGGGACTTTGAATTTTATATTAGGTTTACAATACTGTAAACAATAGGGTTTTGTGAGTAACATAGTCCCCCACAGCACCTTCCCCACAGTGTCCACTTCCTCCACCACTGGCATTGGCCCAGGGTCCCTTCCCTCATTCTACCCCCTGCCCCCAACGCCTGCCCTTCCCCATAGGAGGACTTTTGGCTTAAGATTGTGCATCGGTATTCATGGATCAGAAACACTAGGCAATCAGCTGAGAGATGGTGGTGGTGGGGTGGTTGTGTGTGTATGTGTGTGGTGGGGGAGGGGGGAGCGTTTAGCAGACCCTGGGTAGGCTTCTAGGGCCCATGAGTTGTGCTCTGTAGTTCCCGTCTTACTCAAGAGAGGTCTTACTCAAGAGAGGTCTGTACCCCCTCACCCCCTTCACTGCAGCTGGATCAGCCCAGCTCAAAGCTTTCCCCTCCAGCTGCTGGATTTGCTGCAGGGAAACCAGAAGTTCTTAAATGAACTCCCAGGTACCTCCTTTAGGGTCCAAGAATAAGGGGTTAAGACAGTTGCTTTGCACACAGGGCAGATTCGGGACCATCCTGGCATCACATACGGCCCTCAAGCACTACCAGGAGTGATTTCTGAGCAGGAGTAAGTGATTTCTGAGTGATTTCTGGCCAGGAGTAAGCCCTAAGCATTGCCAGGTGTGGCCCCCAAACTAAATAAATAAAAAGTGGGAGGAGAAAGAGGTCAACATATCTTTTCTTTGGTTGGGGCAATGCTCAGTATGTTGGCTGTACTCCTGGTGGTATTCAGGGGACCATGCTGTGCCAGGCATGGAGATCTGCAGCATGCAAGGCAAGAGCCTTACCCCCAAAGTATCTCCTGACCCAAGAGGTCAGTTTATTTCTTCCCCCTGCACGTCTGTCTGTCCATGACTTGAGGCCCCTTTGCCCCTTTTTTGCCTCTTTTCTCTCAAGACCGGCTGGCACCCTTCTTCTACGACTATGAATTTGGGGGTAATAATCTCTGTCACCGGTTGCTAATTCCCCAAATTCTGCGCATATCCTTGTTGATTTTGGTCCTGAGGAGTCTCAGAGTTAAAAGCGCTTCCACCTGGAGAAGGCGAAGGGCTCTGCAAGGAGAAATAGCCCCCTCCTCACCCCATGCCCCCAGAGGCGCCTGACCCCCTATTCAATACTCTCCCGAGACTACAACGAAGACTGCGAGCTCGTCCAGCGCTGGAATACTGCTCGGCGCGTCTCGGACCCTCACCTCCCGCCCCACCTTAGCCCGGGTCTCGGCGGGGAGGGAGCAGGCGCTCGGAAAGCCCTTCCCTGCAGGGCGGCACCTTTGGGCTCTCAGAGCCTGCAGCCTCCGCTTTCTTCCTCCCTCCTCCTCCCCCACACCACCTGCTGAGCTGCTGGCACCTGTAGGATCTGGTTCACCATGCTGGCCAGCTGGTTTATTTATTTGCTTGGCAGAAGGAAGTGCATCCACGTGATTTTTTTTTTTTTTTTTTGCAGTACCCAAAGAAGGGTGGGAATAGTAGAGCCAGTGCTGGAAGGCTGGTGGAGGAATGTCGGTTTCCGTCTCACCGCTGCTCTTCTTAGGTGAGAATTGTCCCAGCTCTGAGCCGAAAAGTCAAGGGGGAAAAAATTAAAAAACAAAACAAAAAATACCACCCAAAAAAAAACCCGTTTTATTTTGCAACGCAGGATGACAATCTCGTAGCGCGCCCACCTCTCTGTTAGACCTTTCCCGAAATGCCGCGGAGTTAAATGATGGTGAATATCAACAGCCCCGAGGCGTGTTATTATTTTTTTTTTCAATTTTAGAAACACTCGCATCAGGGTAGGCCTGAAGTGTGGACGGCCCGGGTGGGGAAACACCGCCCTGCGCGCACCGGCAGGTAATAATAATAATGGCCTTGGAGACGGCGCCCCCGCCTGCATTTCCCGGGAGTTCTCCGCAACTGCGGCCGCTCCAGCCATCCCCGGGGCGTCCCCGGTTGCTCCGGTCGTGGTCGGTGGGTGGGGTAGGGGGCGCAGCGGGATTGGGGGGGGCAGCCTCCTGCGGGTGCAGCCCCCAAATCGGATTGGTTGCTGGAGGGCGGCGCGGGGTTCTGAAGGTGCGTGCGGTGGGCGCGGGGCGTGCCAGCCCCCCTCCCCCCTCCGGCTCACCACGCCCAGCGGGAACCACGTGCAGCAGCAGCAGCGCTGCACTGGGGGGCTCCCGGCGCACGTTTGGGGAGACTCCGGCGCCCCCAGCCCACCCACCGCGCGAGCGAGTGCGGCTTCGGCCCTGCAGCCGGAGGCGCGGTGCCGAGAGCGCGCGCGCACCCGTGCGGGGAGAGCGAGAGAGTGTGTGTGTGTCTGTATGTGCGTGTGTGTGTGTGTGTGTGTGTGTGACAGTGTGTGTCAGGTGACTTGGGTCACGCAGTCTCTCTCTCCCTCCTCGGGGAGGAACTGCCGCGCTTAGGCTCATTCTCCGCCGGCGGGCGGGCCGGGAAGGGGGCTCCCGGCGCTCCGGGCACCGCGCGGGGACCCGGACCTGGACACCGCCCGCCGCCGGGAACGTGAGACCCCAGCCGAGCTCCAGAGGCGAGGGGGGGAGGGGGGAATAATAATAACCTCACCCCTAGTTCCGAGATCGGGGGCCCGCTGCAGGCTCGGTGGCTCGGCCCCTCCCCGGGACCCCGGCCCGGTGGGCGCGATGAGCCAGGTGGTGGGCAAGCCGCAGCCGGACGACGAGGACGATGACGACGAGGATGAGCTGGTGGGACTCTCAGACTACGGGGACGGGCCCGACTCCTCGGACGCCGAGCCGGACAGCGGGGCGGAGGAGGGAGGTGAGCGCCGGGGACCCCGGGGGGACCCCGCACCTTGGCGCGGCGCGTCCTCGTCCCGCACCGGGACCTCCCTCCCCTCCCTTCGGGGGTCTTGGCGCCTGCCTCCCGCCCGGGCCCGGGGGCCCGGGGCCGCCGACTTGGAGGGGATCCAGCGGAGCAGAGTTGCAGACTGAGTGGGGTGGGGGAGGAGGAGGGGCGTCGGAGGCGCCACCGGGAGCTGCAGAATGGGGGGGCACCCCGGGAGCAGGCGGCTGGGGGGCGGGGGGAGAGTCTGGGGTGGAGCCACCGCGTTCCCTGCCCGCTGCCCTGGCCCCGCCGGCTCTGGGCTCTGGGCTCGGGGCTCGGGGAGGGGCGGGACCGGCCGGCGCGCCCCGGGGACCTCTCCCCGCGCGCGGCCGGGGGAAGCCGGGGTCAGATGTCTTGGCTAAAATAGCAGCGGGCGGCAGCGTGACTGGCAGGGTCGTCGTCAGCTGCGGGTGTCAGTCTTGTCCCGAGTAATCGCCGGAGAGGTCCCGCGCCCCCCTCCCATCTCCCCCCGTTCCTATCGCCTGGGGTGGGGGTGGGGGGCATGCACCCCCCGGCTCCAGGTGATGGGAAGTCGCCGAGCGCCCGCGAGTTTCTGGGCTGCTTGCCAAGAGGGTTATTTGGATGCCCCTCTCTGCGCTCCGGCCACGCCGTGGGCCACGCAGCGCGGGCGTGGGAGTGCGCGCGGGGCTCCGAGGGGCCCGGGGCCGCGGGAGAAGCAAACTCAGTTTCCTGTTCCAGACTTGGGATGTAGCAATTGTTCGGCCCCGGGGGCGCGGCGGCCGCTGGGGGGAGGGGGTGAGGGAGTGGGGGTGGGGGGAGCTTCCTGCATTTAATTCTTGGGGCCCAAGGAAGTTGACAGTTTTTTTTAGGGTTCCAGAACGGTTCATCTGTTTTTTTTTTCTGCAAACCTAGGTCCTGTACTGTAAGGTCACTGGAAAGGTCAGTTGGAGGCAATTTAAACCAGGACTTGTGGATGAAGCCTTGTGTGAGGGCTGAGAGTGTCTTTGTGACTTGGTTTTGGAGGAAGCTGATGGCATTCAAACAGATTTCATTGAACTTACTTTCCATTGCCAACGCACAGCCCCTCTCGGGCGGGCAGTGTGCATTATTTTCTGGCCGGCGGGTGCTCCTTTCAGTGGTCAGAAAGTGAACTGAGCTTTGAGTCGCGGGCTGCTTCCCCAGGCCCCGCTTTTCAGAGCGAATTCCCTGTTTGCTTACGCGGGTGTGTGTACCTGTCTGCCTCTCGCCTAGCGTCCCAGTAATTGGTCCCATCGTGGAACCTGTGGCCACATTTTTGCAGATAAAGGCTTTTAACTCTTTTGTTGGATTCTCCTGGGCCACCTTTGATAATTAAATCCTTCAGTTGCCTCATTATTATTCAAATGGCGTTGGCTAGCTCCGCCTAGATTCTTTGGAGGCTCCTGAGAGATTCTGAATGGGGATGCATTTGCAAGGTATTTGAAGTGGTAAGACATGCAATTGCTCACGTGTGAAATTCCAGAGAGAGCAAAGAAAGTAAAGAGCTGGTGGATGGAAAGAGACTTGATATATTGCCCTGGAGGCCTGAGAGGTTCCTGTAAAAAAAAAAAAAAGCACAGGACCTGTCTCCCTTAGTTGGGGGAGCACTTTAAATCTTTTTTAACTGTTAGGACTTGAAATGTTAGTGAAGTTAATGGTGGGTGGGAGGGGTGGGAATTCCTGAGTGAAGAACTTCCCCAAGACCCCCCTCTAGGGTGCTTTCACCGGGCCTAAGCTAAAGGCAACCTGATAGTCATTTGTCCTTTTGTTTGCGTGTTTTTTAGAGGCGGAGGGGTTGGGGGTGGGGCACACCCAGCCGTGCTCTGGGCTTACTCCTGTGGGTTTTTTTTTTTTGGCTTTTTGGGTCACACCTGGCGATGCTCAGGGGTCACTCCTGGCTTTACACTCAGGAATCACTCCTGGCAGTGCTCGGGGGACCATATGGGATGCTGGGAATCGAACCCGAGTTGGCCGCATGCAAGGCAAACGCCCTACCCGCTGTGCTATTGCTCCAGCCCCTCAGGGCTTACTCCTGTCTGCACTCAGGGATCGTTCCTGGCAGGCATGTTGGGGGGGGGGGGGGGGGGCTGTGGGATGCCTGGGATGGAACCTGGGTGGACCCGGTGCAAGGCAAGTGCTGTATTATCGCTCAGGTCCCATTATTTGTTCTTCCGCTGTAAGCTCCTCCACTCTGCTCAGGAATCAGTGTGGAACGGTAAATAAATATCAGAAGTGTATTTATGTGACAGAGGAGCAACAAATGTCTATGTGCTTCCCGGTAAGTAAAATCGCTCCTTTAGCACAAGGGCCGGCTGTGGCTAGGTGCTCTGACCCCAGAAGTCTTCTTGATTACAGCTCTGCTTCTGGGGGCCTAGGCCCGGGAGCAGCGTCTCACTGAGAACCTTCACTTTGTCCATTAGCAGCGAGCCTCCTCTCCCTGTGGTTCTCAGGAGGACTGACAGGCCCCTGATACCGCCCTGGAGTCAGAATGAGGGGGCGGGAGAATGAGTGGTAGGGACTTGGGACTTGCTCTCCTCCCTCTGACTTCCAGGTGCCATCAAAGGTCATCCCTATTTCTGCTGGGCTCTGGGCCTATGTGGCGTGATAACCCTCTGTTATTTTTGGTGAGTGTTTTTTTTTTATTTGCCCACTATCAAACCCGAGGACTGGAATGTGGAGGAGGGCGGACCCTGTTGACTACAAGGAAAGCTGGTGAAGCTGCCCTTTGAACCAGGAGCCTGGCCTTTCTCTTAGGATCCCTGTCCCTTCCCACCTTCCTGGGGCTGTGGGTTAGTGGCTGTGCTCAGTAGGGACCTGAGCTTTTTTTCCATCAGGTCCAGTAATTTCCCGAGGCAGGGAGAATGCAGCTCTGACTAGCTTGACTAGGTAAGCTGCAATTTGGCAGCAGCTCTGTGCAAAAGACTGAAGGCAGTCGGTGTGATTTTCATTTCCCTTTGTCTTCTAAGGAACTTCTGGTCCAGGGTCTTACAAGTTTTACCACATCGTGCTAAGTTTCAGAATGCTAGTGCAGCAAAGGACAGACAGCCTGTATTTCTCTGGCTTCCCCTTCAGGTTTGATTCATTAATAACACGACTGTTCTCAGGCACTTTAGTTCTATTCAGGCACCTTTCAACCCACCCTTTTAGGATTGTTAATCAGAGATGAAGAGCATCCTACCTTCAATTCTCAGCTCCAGATAAAACTCCAGAGAGAAAAGCAGGCAATAAAGCCATCAGAAACATTTGTGCTGAAAGATAATGATTATTTTTAATTTATTTTAATTTTGGAAGGGCCATATATTCATCGTACTTACTCCTCGCTTGGTGCTCAGGGGTCACTCCTGGCACAGCTCGGGGAACCATACCTGGTGCCAGGGATGGAACACAGGTTGGATGCATGCAAAGCAAGAACCTGATGTGCTGTGCTATCTCTCCAGCCCCAAGAATGATTATTTTTAGAGCTCCGGATTTAATCTGTGGTAAAGTACTGTGCCTGTGCTCTTATTTATTTTTGTTTGGGGTCAAACCTGGCAGTGCTCAGGATCACTCCTGGTAGGTGTGCCCAGGTATTGGGGTTCTTGTGCAAGGCAAGCTCCGACCCCCACTGTATTATTACTGTGACTTCATGTACTAGGAAGGGGCTGAGAGATTACTCTGGACTTTAAGGCACTTGCCTTGTATGTTCCTGTTCAACAACCGCCCTCCTCCCCTTCCCCCAATCCCACACCTCATGATCCCCCAAACACTACCAGACTCAATCCCTGAGCACAGAGCTGGGAGTGGTTTCCAGTACTGCTGGGCGGGACCCCACCCCCTCTCCAGACCCCTGAGTGTAGTAAGAAGGAAACTAATGTAAAAACTCATCAAACAGATTTGTTTGGGGGCTACAGCCCAGTGATGCTCAGGGATTATTTCTGACTCAGCATTCAGTGGTCAAGTGACTATATGGGGCACCAGGGACCGACCCTGAGCTGCCCGCATGCAAAGCAACCACTTTTCCTGCTATACTATCTCTCTGGTCCCTTAGTAGACTTCCCCCCCTGCCAGAATAGATTTTCTTAAAGATAAAAGTTTTTATTTTATTCATTTAGAAAGATTATTATTAAAACACATGATTCACCGTTGCATCAGGCATTCAGTGTTCCAACACCAATTCCACCACTGGTGTGACCTTCCCTCCGCCAGTGTCCCTCGTTTTCCCACCCACCACCCCAGTCTGCCCCCTTGCAGGCACAAATTTGTTTCTTATTATTTGCTACAACACAAAGGCAACTGGAATTGTCAAAACATAGAGGCAATTTGTGATAATTGTCATATCTCACAATAGGGCCAGCCGACCCTCTCTGTGTTGTTGAGCTTGGTGGCCTTCTATGCAACTTTCCCACCACATTTCTGTGATCCTGCTGGCTGACATTACAATGGAATTTGGAGGTATAGAGCTGGAGCAGTTTGGCTTGGCAGCTTGATTCAGTTGTAGACTGCACTGTTTCGATGTGGGGTCAGGGGCAGGTATAGCTTCAGGCAGAAAGGGGAGTCTGCCCGCCCCCAACCTGAGAACTTGTCACCTGGACCAATCTACCTGGAAAGCTTTGGCTGTGGCATCATGCTGTTTTGGAGGTTAGTTGTGTCTGAAGAGGTATTTTTTCACTTTGTTCCCTTTGCTGTTGTGAGGGTGATTGGGGTCACTCCCTCTTAGAGACGCTCGCTCACCTCACTGCTGGATGGCTGGAAAGCCTTGGTTGCACTGGGCCTTGCAGAGAGCAGAGCCAAACCAGCTGGGGATTGGGACTCATGTCTAAAAAGCTTCCATGGCAGGTACTGAAATCCACTGGGATAGTGCCCTGGGCCTTAGGAGATCACACTGAAGCAGAAAGAGAAATTGATTCTCCCCAGAGACCCTCCCAGGTTGTAGGGGAACCATCTAGATAAGCAGCTCACCCCCTGTAGTCCAGCTC